CATCATCCTCTTCAAAACTAGCAACACCCAAGACCTTAATATCATCTGCAAATTTAAGTAATTTATTTAAATGGTAACTAAACATTCTCAATGTTTTTGTTTTTTCTGCGTAAGTTGTAAGTTCTAAATAGAGTGAATAGTTCTCAGTGTGAATTGGTTTATCTAGCTTGGATCAAGTAGTACCTTTAGTGTAAAGTTGACAAAACTTGAGGTAAACACTTCTCATATATATGGATTTTAATGTATCTTCATTGTCAAGTTTGACAAAATTTGAGGTAAACAGTTCTTAGTTATGGGTTTTAATGGTAACTAGTATAAAGTTGACAAAATTTTAGGTAAGCATGTCTCATTTGTGGATTTTAATGGTAACTTTAGTGTAAAGTTGACAAAACTTGAGGTGAAAATGTCTCAATTGTTAATTTTAATGATTTATTGTAAAGTTGACAAAACTGGATATAAACATTCCCATTTATTGATTTTAATGATAACATGAACATTACTTGATTTTAACATCTTTATCAAGCTATGCTGAATTGAAATGTTAAGTTTTTGGTGGAAGACACGTTTTAAATAATAAACCTTCAAAGTTGATTCTAAGATAGGAAATGGTGTCTATTAAAGAAATGTTGATAAATGTTTGTGTGTAAGGTGTCAAACTGATACCGAAAATATTCCTATGTATTAGCGTGATATATTTTCACTGTAATTGTTTTCAAATTATTCTTTTCTGTTCTGTTACTGAGAGTTGGTTCTCCTTGTTGATATTTTGTAGGTGAAAGCCTTGTCATTTTCTGCTGGTGGTACCTACTTTGTTACTGTGGGGAATCGACATGTAAAGTTTTGGTATCTAGAGTATTCTCGCTCAACAAAGGTGAGGAGACTTTGATATATACCCTACCAATGTACTTATAGACTGTAGAACATATGATTTTTCATTCAATTCATGAGTCTGAACGTACAATTACTTTACTACTTTTAGACTATAGAATACATACCTACAGTGACACAACTGTTTGCAGACCATAGAACATGTAGATATAGTCACTCCAATGTTTGCAGACTACAGAGCATGTGCATATAAGCACACCACCATTTGTAGACCATAGAATATATGCATATTGTCACACCACTGTTTGCAGACCATAGAACATGTAGATATAGTCACACCACTGTTTGCAGACCATAAAACACGTAGGTATAGTCACACGACTGTTTGCAGACCATAGAACATGTAGATATAGTCACACCAATGTTTGCAGATGACAGAACATGTACTTATTGTCACCACTGTTTGCAAACTATATAGATTGTAGAATGTGCATACAGTTACACTACAACATTTAGACCATATAACCTGTATATTTAATCACATAACAGTGATTGTAAAGTAAACTTGCTCATGTAGTTACAGAATGATTTGTTTGTTATTATTATTATGACAGACATGTTTTGCTGTCACCATAACACATTTGTATGGTATTCAGTTAGTAAATAACATTTTAATAAATTCTTGTTACAAATGTCTGGTATTCAATTTAAACTTTAGCAACCATTGATGGATGACATTTTGAACTCTCTGCTGATGCTTTCTTAACACTTTAAAGAAGGTTTTAACAAAGAACTTGAAACATCATATTTTGTATTTTCTTTCTTTTTCGAAACTGTAAGTAGGTAAGATTCCAAATAAAATGATGGAATTTTTTTAAATATATATATATATATATATATATATATATATAT